GTGGAGGAGGAGAGGAGGAGAGGAGGAGAGGAGGAGAGGAGGAGAGGAGGAGGAGGAGGAGGGAGAGTGACGTAACTGGCTCGAAGGGTCGACGACCGGAGGGTTAATGCACCGGTCGCCTGATTTCAACCCTCCGGAAAAAGCACCGACATGCACCTTCACCGATGATTATTTCACATCGCAGAAATTTAAAGAGGAACTCTGCTACTAAAGAATCTTATTTTTTCTAAATAACATACATATATAATAATAACTTAATAATCTTTTCTTGAAAAAATTGGCCATAAGAATTTCAGCTTTACGACATTTTACTTTTGCTGGAGATTTATACTTTTAGTTTTTATATTTTATTACGCTAAAATAAAATTTTTTAATTGAAAGCTTCATTTTAACATCAACATATGACGAGAGATGTTTAACAAAATTAAGTTATTTTATTGAATGCTCAGACTACCAAAGCACAATACTGATGAAAACTGCTGTGGAAACCATATTTATTTGAAATCTAATTCACTGCGACATGTACCGTTATGATAACAGGAGTAGGGCGATAATAGCATCATTCGACTATTTCCGAATTGCAATCGATTTAACTCAAATTAGTCTAAAACATTCAAAAATACTGCATCTATTTTATTCTCCTGCATAATTCTTTGATAAATTGAAAAGCTTTATTCCTCGGTGTATTAAATTAGAAGAAAACGAATTGCTCAATATTCAGATTTTTCAATACCTCTTTCCTGTTATTTTTTAAACCGACTTATCTCATGTCAGAAAACAATTTAGACACATAGATTTTGAAACTTTTACATTTAAAAACTGAATTTTTTTTATCTATTTTTGAAATATACTTGCAAATCCATTGTGAATAAAATATAAGTTATAAAAATATACTACTAGCTTTCTCGACAATTACATAATGTTCTACGTGTTACATCAGCAAGCTTTTTTTCTCCTGGTGAAATTAATATTTCAATACTGTAGTCTGTGACGCGAAGAGAAAAGTAACGTTCTACTGATGAGACGGTAGAGCGAAATAGTGCAACCGTGTAGTGGTGTGACCGAGCGACCTAGTCTTAAAGATATCCAACACTCTTCCGCGTTCTCTTCCCTTTCCACAAGCCCCTCTTCCAGTATACCTTAAGACGCTCTACCGCTAGCGGCTAGGTCACTCGGTGGAGACTCGTTCGGCTTAGTACCTCTTACGGCGCTGCGGCCATAAGTTACTGACCTAGTCAACCAGCCGGAGACCATGACTCTGCCCGAACGATTAGTCTCCTCAGTGAATTTCAGGCGTCCGAGGCGTCCGGTGAGGAGAAGCGGGAGGACGATAAACGGAGGGGAAAATTCTTAGCCAGGTGTTTTCACGGAATGCGGTCGTTCTAGTTCCTTTTTTCGTGCCTACAATAGAAGGAACGAAAGCAGAAGTACCTGCCGCACCGTATGGATCAAATGGTCCTCCCTAATACTTTCGCTTCCCCGCGGCTTGCAATCATCATTTTGGGTTTTCGGTAGACCCCACTCTCTCTTTCATTTCTCCGTCTTTGGGTTACTCCGCAGCAGGATGTCCCTGACACTACTGGCAACTTCATTACTTCTGTTTGATTATTTCAGTGTGAAAAGCCACCGGAACGAATTGTATACTGCCATGTGAAACATTTAAACGAATTTAAATGATGTGTTTGTTATTGCTCCATTTATTTTCAGAAATTTGTGCTTCACACATCTGTACATTTATATCATTATTTATGCAAAACATGAATAGATATAAGTAAAAATTAAAAGGATTTAAATGCTCATTTAACATTACATTTTTTTAAATTAATTTACATCATATTTAATAAATGTTTATTATCTATCAATAAATTTTTAAAAAACCAAATAATATCACGTAAATCATAATGACATTCGATCACATCGATGTTCAAATAAGAAATATTTTTTACATATATGTATATCTTTTTTTTTTTTTCTTTTCGTAAAAAGAACAAGAGTAAATGAAACACAAGAGAGGAAAGACAATGGCACGAAGTTGCCGCGCAAGTGGTCTAAGTTGGTCTGCGAGTGCGATTCTGATGCACGGTACTTGACCACCTCCACCGCGTCGCACGGTTGTGGAGGTGGTAAAGTTGATGGTGGGTAGTGGCGCCGTTCCTTCACTTCTTAAAACGCGTCGATATAGCCGGTGCTGACCCTACTATTCGCTTCCGGCCAAGTTGACATGTACGAACGGAACAAAAGATGCCAATCCGACTATAGTTTAGATAGCTCGGAAGTTTTTCTCGAAAATAACGAAGAAAAATTTTAGCAAACATTTTTCCCAATTGACATATGTCGTTTGTCAGTGAGAAACACATTTGTCCGGAATGACATTTTTAAAATTCTTCGATCATGAGTATTATTACTTGACAAATTTGGGAACATTAACTTAATATAAGAACTGGTATGGATGGAAAAAAGACCTTTCAATTTGAAAGAATTTGACGTGTCTACCTGCTTCAAACCTTCTTCTGGATTTGAAACGAAAATACTATAGCGGTAAAAAAATCCGCATTTTTTGTCTTCAGTTCACGCAATGCGCGTTTTTTTATTCAACTGTCAAGTCTTCTTTTTCAAACATAACGGCGATTCTTGTAACAAAAATGATGCGAAAACAAGACGAGAATCCGCCATAAAAAAATTATGATTGATGCTTTTGACTACTATGTATCACTTTTTACAGTTGTCAAAAAGTAAGTACACTATAGACGATGATGATCGCGATGGCCCTGACAATACGTAAATCAAAAGAGGCCTTCAACAAGATTCTCTGCCGACGTGGGGAAACTGCCGGGTCGTGAAATAACTTCAAGGACCACCTCAAATCTGTTATGATTTCCGCGTGACCAAGGTTAATCCTTGCTCGGTCGATAGTTCGTATGTAGCCTTGGTCGCACCTCACGCATTCACGTTCACGCACATTCACTCTCTGGTCACGCCGCGTAAACACTACATATCCGCAATTTCGATATTTTTAAATTGAAGATGTATTATAACGCAACTATATGTTGAATCTACAGATTTTTTAAGCCAAATTTGAACTTAAACTTGATTTAACAAAATTTAATGACATCCTCTTTTTAATTTTTATGTTATATATATATTTTTTTTTGTAAGAATTAAAATCATTAAAATTTTTATTTTATATCAATCGATGTTTAAAATAAAGTAAGATCAATTCTCTTAACAAAATCTCTCTCTTGGAATGAATTTGTAATATCGAAATCGCTCGTTACACGAAAACACGACGTTTCCGATTGCTCGTGCGAGGATCAGATTCCGTCGGCGTCTTGAACGACGATTTGAAAATCCGGACAAAGGATTGTAACGCAAGGCTTGAAAAAAAAGCGACAGCCAATGGAATCGGATCGTTGTATAATTGACAACTGATCTGTCGTTACTCACCTTGCATCCCTCGCAGGAATGAACTCCATAATGAAAACCGGATGCCTTGTCACCACAAACTCGGCACAACACGGTGGTCCCGTCGAATTCTGAAACAAACGAGAGAAGCACGTTTCGTTAATGCAGGTCACAACGATATCCTCTCCCGCAGCTTCCTCTTCTCCGCGTGTTGCGTGAGAGAAAGGTGGGAGGGAAAGAAGAACACTTTCTCCTCTTTCGCGTGTAGCGGGTTACAGCATCGCGCCGTATTACAACTTTCTGCTTTCACCCACTGTCGCGGCATCGCAATCCCGCCCGTTTACGCTCGCTCGCCACTCGCAAATTGCAATTGGATTTGCCGTGGCCTCGGCGTTATATAAAAATACGCGTACCTATGTTTAACTCGGGCTCGGGCTTAGCGGATGAAACCGTCGAATCCATCGTCGGCATACTAGGACTAAGACGATGATCTGCTAACTGTACCACGTGATACGGACTAGACATGCCCCGAGTGGGTACGCACGGCACGCTGGACGCGCGGGAATCGTGCGAGGATACGTTGGGGATGAGCAATTCGGGTGCAGGAGATGTGGCCAGCGTGTCCTGCGCGCTACTGTCCGGAGTAAGGATCATGTTTGTTCACGGAAGAGTGTTCCGCTGTTAACGTTCTCCTGCCGGACGGAGATACTGCCGTATCCGTCTACACACGACACTGCACTGAGAAAAAACGATTAGGAGTCCACATATTGTTCCAAAGACGTTTACCGCGTTTCAAGATACTGTTCCACTTCTCATCTCGCTCTCACTGTCACTACGCTCACTGACCAATCACCAATAAATAAATCGATTCGCATGCACGCGCGCGCGCGCGCGCGCCTCCACGTGCAACTCCACGTTCGAGGAAAAAA